AAAAGTTTCACAAGTCTATTAGAGGTTTTGCATGACATTCTTCCGGAAGATAATGAATTACCCATTTCTACATATCAAGCAAAAAAGGTAATGTGTCCGATGGGAATGGAAGTTGAAAGAATACATGCATGTCCAAATAATTGTATGTTGTATAGAAAGGAGTTCGAGAATAAACATAATTGTGTTTTTTGCGGTGCATCGAGGTATAAAAAGAAAAAAGATTCGGATGAAGTAGATGATGATGTGACAAAAAATGGACCACCGGCTAAAATGTTGTGGTATCTCCCTATTATACCAAGACTAAAAAGGTTATTTTCAAAAGAAAAAGAAACAAAGTTACTTTGTTGGCATTCGGAAGAATGTGTAATTGACGGAAAACTAAGACATGTTGCGGATTCACCTCAGTGGAGAAATATTGATAAGAAGTATCCTGAATTTGGAAAAGAGATGAGAAACATACGGTTTGGGCTTAGTTCAGACGAGATCAATCATTTTGGGAACATTAGCAGTCGTCATAGTACGTGGCCAGTTCTTTTATGCATTTACAATCTTCTACCGTGGTTATGCATGAAATGGAAATACATTATGATGTCGTCGCTGATTCAGGGCCCGGGACAACCTGGTAACGATATTGATGTGTATTTGTCTCCTTTGATTGATGACTTAAAAACTCTTTGGAGTTCGGGTGTGGATGTATATGATGCTTATAAGAAACAACACTTTCAATTGCGGGCCATGTTTTTTTGTACTATAATTGATTTTCCAGCATACGGTAACTTATTAGGATACAAAACAAAGGGTAAGAAAGCTTGTCCAATTTGTGAGGATCAAACAAGCTCGATATGGTTAACAAATTGCAAAAAAACTGTATACATGGGACATCGAAGATTCCTTCCGAAGGGTCACCGTTTTAGGAAGAAAACTATTGAGTTTGACGGAAGTATTGAGATCAGAACGATGAGGAAACGATTTGATGCATTTTCAAGAGTTGCAGGTATAAATGTTGTCTTGGGAAAAAGATTTCGTGTTGGTAAAAATGCCTTTTGGAAAAAAAGTCAAATTTTTTTTGAATTACCTTACTGGAGACATTTGGATGTTAGACATTGTCTAGATGTTATGCATATAGAAAAAAATGTATGTGAGAGCTTGATATGCTTATTATTAGAGATGAAGCATAAAACTAAAGAGGTTAACGTCCGAAAGGACATGGCCGAGATGGGGATACGTGAAGATCTTGCCCCAAACAGAGTGCTAACGGTGTCTGTCTCCCACCTGCTTGTTATACTACATCAAAAGAAGAAAAAAATAAAGTTTTGTCAATGTTTACATGATATTACGGTCCCATCAACTTATTCTGCAAACATTAAAAGATTTGTGTCGATGAAAGACTGTAAATTGTTTGGAATGAAGTCTCATGATTGTCATGTTTTAATGACACATATGATTTCTATCGCAATTCGTGGAAATTTACAAGACGATGTCCGACATTCTATCACTAAGCTTTGTTTGTTTTTTAACAACATTCACTCAAAGGTTATTGATGTAGAAGATTTGGATCAATGGGAGAAAGACGTTTATGTTACACTTTGTGAACTTGAGATGCACTTTCCGCCCTCATTTTTTGATGTAATGGTTCACCTCATATCTCATATCGTACAAGAAATTAAGGTGTGTGGTACTGTATTCTTACGGTACATGTACCCTTTTGAAAGATACATGAGTATCCTAAAAGGTTACGTAAGAAACCGTAATCGGCCAGAGGGGAGTATTGTTGAAGGGTATACTTGTGAAGAGGTGATTGAGTTCTGCCAAGGTAATCATATTTAATAATATATTAAAGTTATAACAATCTATAATATGTTATATATAATATTAATATTTTTGTAGGCTATATGAAAGATGTCGAAAGTGTTGGTGCTCCTAAAACTCGTCATTCAGGTCGACTTGAAGGTAAGGGAGGAGTCGGTTTCAAAATAACCATGCCAATTTATGAAGAGTTACAAGTTGCACATTTAGTGGTCCTAAAACACATGAAATATCTTACTCCATACGTTGATGAACACATGGACATGTTAAAGTTGAAATACCCGGGTAAGGAAAAAATGTGGTACATAAACAATCATAACAAAAAGTTTTCAAGGTGGCTGGAAAGGAAGGTAGCAGAAACGAATGTTGATGAAACCGTGAAAAGGTTGGGACGTGGGCCAAATTGTAGAGTTAAATCTTATCAAGGGTATGGCATTAATGGCTATACATTTTACACCAAAGATCAAGATGAAAAAAGTACAATGCAAAATAGTGGAGTTACAATGATAGCATCAACAACCGAATTCCATAGACGGGATCATGATACTTTGATAAGAATAGCCAAAGATTCTTATTATTGTGTTATACAAAAAAATTGGGAGTTGAACTATTATAACTTTGTTATTCTTGTGTTCAAATGTAAATGGGTGAATAACTGTACAGGTGTTCAAGTTGATAAAGATGGTTTTACACTTGTCGACCTTACAACTAATGGCTATGTATCTGAGCCATTCGTTTTCGCAAAACATGTCACACAAGTTTGCTTTATCAAAGACCCGAGTAAGAAAAAAGAGCACATCGTCTTACAAGGCAAACGACGTATTCTTGGTGTTGATGATGTCGTTGACGAAGAAGAATACGACCACTTTGATGATCTATCACCATTTTCTATTGGTACTGAACCCGGTAATTACAATAATATTGACCGCACAACATTCGTACGACCTAACATGGAAGGGACATATGTTGACTAAGTGTATGAATGCTTTTTTTTTTCATTTTTGAATATTGTTTTTTACATAACTTTTGTATCAAATACCATCTATTGAAAGAGTAATAACAATGTTGTCCTTCTCTTTTGATAATTATAATGTTTGTATAATTTTTATAAGAAAATATTGAATAACATTTAAATGTATCAGGGAAGACTTTTACTTGTGTTGTTTGATCACTTGTGATGTGCATTTAATTGTTCTGTTTTCAAAAATAGACAATTTACTTTTACCTGAAAACCGCCCTAAAAATTTGAAACAAACCGCCTCAAAAGATAATTTTAAAAAAAAGTACTATTAAAAACCGCCTCAAAAAATAAAACCACGTCAAAAGATAAAAAAAAATACCATCAAAAAGATGCATATAAACCGCCTAAAAAAATACATCAAAAAATAGCATAATAACCGATAAAAGCATTAAAACATATTGATTATCAACCATTCGATTCTATTTATCTACGGACGAGGATATTCTTTAATGCATCACACGGATTGAGTTGTATTTTAGAGAAGATAATTATGTATTGTTATTTTCTTATTTAGATAAACTAAATTTTATAATTTAAAAAGCATCGAGTAAATTTTTTTTTTTTTTTTTTTTTGATTTTTACACTCAATTAATGTATAATCTATTGGTAAAACGAAAAAAAAATAAAAAAAATATTTTAGCTAAGTCTGTTATTTAAAGAGTTACATCACTATTTACAAAGGAATTGGTTAAAACAAAACAAACAAAACATCCAATTATCTAAGTCATGCAAGTCAAATCCCTAAACCCAAAACTTCAACACAAATCTATATACAGTAAACCATATATCGTAAACCCTAGCCCCTAAATCTTAAACCCTAAACCTTTAAACTTAAACCAAACACCCTAACCACTAAACACTAAACCCTAAACTTTAAACCTTGAAACTTTAACCTTAAACCGTAAACCCTAAACACTGAACCTTGAATCTTAAACCATAAACCCTAAATACTAAATACTAAATACTAACCCCTAACCACTAAACACTAAACCCTAAACTTTAAACCTTGAAACTTTAACCGTAAACCCTATCCCCTAAACCACTAAACACTAAACCTTTAAACTTAAACCAAACACCCTAACCACTAAACACTTGTAACATCCGAATTTCCAGGTATTATATTTTATCATTTATTTTTGGGTCTAAGAGAGAGACTCGACGAGCGTTGCATGTGGGTCAAGATCCAACCTTTACGTGATTGTTGGTCTTGGGAAGGTTAGATCTATGGATTAGAGGAACAGATCTGACCTCAGGAGGTCAGATGAATGTTGTCATGGGAGCAACTCGGCGAGTCCATAGGTAGACTCGACGAGTCGATTCGGGGTTTACGGTGGACTGTTTAAAAATGTGGAAAGTAGTCGAAGCACAAGACAACAGGTTGACATGATCCCAACATTCCATGAATCGAGTGGTGTGTCTGGTGGACGGATGATAGAATACCCACCTATTGAGGTAATATATTTATAATTTCCACATAAAAAAGATATATATCTATACTATAAATTTATGTTTTTTATATTATATTTACAAAAAATGTTTATATAATTTGCAGGTTAGGACATAATGTGAATTGCTAGTGAATGTGGCTGATACCCAATTCAAAGTAGCTAATGGTATTGCATGGCCAACATCTGAAACGATCATACATTCACAACCAATAAGTAAAGGTTGTGTGAAAGTACAAGTTGATGAAATCGTCGATATATATGAGAACTTGCCTATGCATGCCGTCACAAGAACGGAGGAAGTTGAATACGTTAAACATATTCTGCATACCCTCGTTCAGTGGCCGAGATATGCAATAAAGGTATATTTATATTTAAATATAACTATATATTTTAGTATATGTTTATTTAAATTTTACAAAATATTATAGCTTGTGAACAAGACACCTAGCAAGTCAAATAGTGGCACGGGAATGAGTTCGAATCGCGGCTCACCACGGATACAAGTTGATGACATCACGACGACTTCAGTTTATCGTCCACAAGTAATCGACCGGTTCACTCTTATTTTTTGTTAATTTAATTTTATTTTGTTAATATTATAACAATTTGTTTGTTATTTTAGTTTGAAGAAAAGCACATCGCCTATCAACACGAAATTATTGAGCATTTTCAATGTGATTTAGTTGATATGGTTAGTCTTAAAAACTTGTTTTATGCTTATTTTTTTATTTTATTATGTTTGTTTTTAGATGTTTTATGTTTGTATATAATCATACATAATTACTAATGTTTTTTTTTGTCTTTAGATGTTATCTATGAATCCACCACATCTTGATTTAAATGCAATCGGACCCGGACCCGAACTCGAACTCGAACCCGGACCCGGACCCGGACCCGAACCCGAACCCGAACCCGAATCCGAATCCGAACCCGAATCCGAACCCGAATTTGAATCCGATATCGGTTCTGAATCCGAATCCGAATCCGAAACCGAACCCGAACCTGAATTCCATACACATGATGATCTTGAATTGTGTACATCCTTGAGCAAATTAGAACAACAAAGTCCTCAAATTCAATGTGTTGGTTTTCAAGTAGCAGAGTTTTTTGGGAATGCAAATGTCGTTAATATTTTTTCAACCAAAGGGATGTATCGCCGTAGGGTTCAAGTTAGCATCCAATATATCGAGGTGTTACAACTACTTTTAAGAGGTTGGCTTGATTTTAGCGTTATTCATTGGTTTGCGATGTAAGTTATTATTATTATTATTTTAATATGGAATAATAACTTTTTAGATATATTTAATATTTACTAATATGGTGTGTATATATATATATATATATAACGACCCAATTTTCACGTCCGAAAAATTTCATTTTAAAACATTACTTTGGAAAACATTAATAATTAAAAACATTGTTTGATCAAACCACAACACAATGCAAATCATGTTTAAAAGCCAAACCATACAATCCATCAAAATATCAGAGTACAAATCCCAGTGAATCTCGTAAATGCGGAAACCAGAGTGTGTGCATGATGTGCCGCTACTGCGCCAGCTCCTTCCCCTTCGAAGAAGAGGTACCTGAAAACAAAACTGTAAAACATAAGCATAAAGCTTAGTGAGTTCCCCCACTGTACCACATACCACATAATCACATAACATACATAAATTTGTCAGGCATATCTGGGTGCCCGATCTACCCCTTTGGTCCTCTCGACCGGATACTGCCTAGCATATCTAGGTGCTGGCCTCCCCTTCGGTCCTTTCGACCGGATACTGCCTAGCATATCTGGATGCTGGCCTCCCCTTCGGTCCTTTCGACCGGATACTGCCGAGCATATCTGGGTGCTGGCCTCCCCTTCGGCCCTTTCGACCGGATACTGGGGACTATTTCACCCCTACTACTACTACATAACACATATATCACATAGTCTAGAAACCCTAGATGAATATCACAAAGACAATCATCTAATCACACATCTCCTACTGGTGGGCCGGCATTGTGGCCTTAGACCCACCGCTACTGGAAGGCAACTCACCTCAAAGTAGCTGCTGAACTGATCGGGAACTGACTGACTGCTGCTGCTGCTCCGGAACTCCTCCGACTGCAATTCCCACAACATACTTAATCACACACTGCTAACTGTCCTTTGGGTAAAAAGACCATTTTACCCCTGGTCTAGCCTTAAGTCAAATCAGAGTCAACTTTCAGTTGACCCGACTCGCCGAGTTGGCTCTCCAACTCGCCGAGTCCCTATCCAGATGATTGTCCTGGGTCCTTGATTCTACTCGTCGAGTTAGGCTATGACTCGACGAGTTCTTCTTCTAAACTGACATTGAATTTCTTCGTCCTACTCGCCGAGTTGTATGAACGACTCGTCGAGTTCATCTTCATCCGATGAACACTCATGCTTAGACTCGCCGAGTTGTATGAACAACTCGCCGAATCTGTTCTTGGTCTATGAAGATTGCCATGGACTCTCCGAGCCAGGCCATGACTCGCCGAGTCCTACCATGGGTGAGTTCAGCTTCCAACTCACCGAGTCACCCCCTGTGACTCACTGCTCAAACTCGATACAGCATAAAGGGACTAATTCGGTGACCCGCGAGCCGACTCGCCGAGTCACATGAACGACTCGCCGAGTCGTCGCCATGCATCCATTAAATACACTGATTTGTTCGATTTCAGTCCATGCCATTCATAGATCTGGGCTTCTAAGACACGAATCACACGTAAAGTTTCCAACTTTACGTGTAGATATTCACTAGTATGGATTTTAGGGTTCAAAATGCCTTAAAAGGGTAGATCTAGGATGAACAAGCCACATGGGTCCATAAAGCTAACAGATCTGAGCTCCTGGAGCTCAATTTTGCCTAGATCTAAAGGTCAATCCACTTATTACGAAACATTATGCACAAACAAGCTTGGGGAATTGCTCAAGAGTGTCTTAAATGAAATCTTAAGCATAGGAACAAGGGGAAAACAAGATATACCTCAATGAAATAGCTGAAGAACACAATGATGCTTGGATGGCTCTCCTTCCTCTTGATCTTCTTCCCCTTCTTGCCTCAAAACCTTCAAGAATACACACAAGAGCCTCAAACCCACAAGAAACGAGCTTAGGACGAGGGTTGGGAGCTCTGGGGGTGAATGGGGGCTGGCAAGGGGCGGATATGAAGTTTAAATAGGGTGCAAACCCCTGAAACTTAGGGTTTCATCCAACAGCGGCGACTCGCTGAGTCCAGGATATGGACTCGCCGAGTCGCCAACTTAAACGTGTCCTGGGTCTCGTCCCTACTCGGCGAGTCGGACCTATGACTCGCCGAGTCCAAGGCTAAAATAGAAAGTACTCAAATAAGATTTACATACCAGGAACCAGGTGCTACAATATATATATATATATATATATATATATATATATATATATATATATATATATATATATAGGCTTCTTTTTAGGTCGCCCAATTCTTAATGTGTTTTATTTGATCCGCTTTGCATTGCACGCTTAAATACTAGAAAAGACCTGTCGCCCGCTACTAAACATATCGAAGAAGTATTTTCATATCATAAAGGAAAACGATATTTTCTTGCTCCATATTTACAGGGGTATTTTTTTCTTTCCATAATACGTTCACATACATATGCACAATACACTTTTATAAATACACATATATGCTTACATGTTAAATAATTCTTATTTTTGCAGTGACCATTGGGTGCTTTTTATCTTATGTTCTGAAAGCAAATGTGGTTATATTCTTGATTCTTCGGTTTTTGAAAAGAACAAAGAAAATAAAAAGGACGACTACTTCTTTTCTTCTTTGATTGATAATGTTTTCCCGGGACGAGTTAATATGTGGAAAACAGTAAAGGTATGTTCTACATTAGTTTTTATCAATATATTTCAAGTGGTTTGAAATAATTATTGTATTTTAAATGCAATGCTACAAACAGAAAGGTGGATGAGAATGTGGATTTATAGTAATAAAACATATGAAGGAGTTTGTTGAGACCATTCAACATGATTTTGAAAATAAAGTAAGTATTTTGTATATATTTAAAATATCAATATTTTTTTTTGTGTGTGTGTGTGTGTGTGTATATATATATATATATATATGTGTGTGTATATATATATATATATATATATATATATATATATATATATATATATATATATATATTGTGTTTGTTTGTTGTAGTTTTGGAAAAAAAAAAGAAGAGTTATTTTTCGCCCGCTAAACTTGAAGATATGGTTTCAGAAATAGTACCTCGTTTAATTTACATGGTGAACGATAGTAGGAAAAGAACTTGGTAAGAATTTGTTTTGTGTTTTATTATAACTAAAATATAAATTAGAAATTGTTGGTTTTTTGTATAATGAAGTTTTTTTTAATAGTATTTATTAAAAAAAATTTATAGTGTGGTTTTGTTTTGATTCTGTACATTATTAGAATGGTTTTATATTTTTTTGGCCTATTATGTAATTGAGTGGTTTTATAATTTTTGGTGTTACTATTTAATAAGACGGTTTTTTATTTAATAGAGCATTTCCCGATTTATTAGCCTTATAATTTAATAGGACGGTTTTTTATTTTTTGCTGCTACTCTTTAATAGGGCGGTTTTCTATTTTTTGGTGCTATTATTTAATAGAGCGATTCTTGATTTTTTGGTGCTATTATTTAATAGAGCGGTTCCTAATTTTTTGGTGCGATATGCGATTTTCGTTTTGGTATTTTATAAGGCGGTTTAGGATGTTTTCTAATGTGGTTTACAAACCGCATCAACAACTGGTTTTATTTTTTGATGCTATATTTTTTGGGGCGGTTGGAAAACCGTATCAACAAATTAAATTAGCCGCCTTATCAAATCTCTTATGTACTAATGATACATTTATTAAAAAAAAAAAAAAAAAAAAAAGGTACATGCAAACTAAAAGCTAACTCATGTTAAGAGTCGTGGTCTATGTCCATTCAAAAGTATTTCATGAACGAAGATTGAAAAATGAACATTCAAAAAAATACATTATTTATTTCATAATTAATCCAAATACCAACCAAAAACCTATATATTAACACAAGAAAACATCTTAATTAACCACAAGACTCACACCAAAAATGCCATATACTCATTCTTCTTCACATGTGCAAATCTTTGTTTAACATGAAAGCCCAAATTTTAACAAAAACACCAATTTAGCTCTAAAGTATATTGCTAAAACCGTACAAAGAAAACATAAATTAAGCTCCAAGCGACTTGTAACACCCCCCTTTCGAATAATCCGTTGACTTACAACAGAAATAGCAAAGTAAATAGTTAAAACCGAATAAAACCAAAACTAATAAACCCCAACTTTCAACTTTTTTAAAACAAATTTTAAAAAAATAAAAATAAAAATAAATAAATAAAATTCAACAAGAAAACTTTTTTATTATTATTATTATTATTATTTTAAAATAGCATAAATTTGAATCTTAGTCTTATTTGTTTAAATTATATATACATGACAATATGATCAATGAATCTGTTTGGGTACTTCAATTAGATTCGTAAGAATAAATTTGATAGTTGTCATTCTAAAGTTTCATTTCAAATGTGCTAATCAATCGATTTAGATAAATGAGGAATCAAAAATAGTTACATCAAATTTAGACACTTAAACTAAAAACAAATTTTGAAGTGACTATTTAAAAAAAAAAATCTCTTATATCATATATTTGTCAATTAATTGATCAATGAAACTTGTAGAAAAAAACATACCAAGTAACTTACTTGAATTTTTGTGCAACCGCACATTTCAAACTCTTATTGTCCATATTATGTACATAGATACAACATCATTCAAATAAACATTTCAAACTCTTATTGTCCATATTATATACATAGATACAACATCATTCAAAGAAATCAGGTTTGATAAAACAGAACAAAATTATCAAATACTCAATATTGGTCCTAAATGAGATGAAGTTGAGTCTTATCCGTTTCTCCAAAGTTGTCGCTTTTTACATGTTGATCTCACCAAAATGAATGTCATCGTTATAATTTAACAACTTAATCCTATAATCATGTATATGTTTTTGTTGTTAGGATATTGCTATAATTTAACCCCAAAAAATGAGAGCTAAATGGAAAAGGTAAGATGCCTGTCAAACAAATTTAATGATATCTCATATGATGTCTTTGGGTAATAAGTAGGAAGTAAGAGCGAATAAAAAATGGAACAATAAACATGCAATCAAT